CGTGGGCCGGAGGGGGGCATTGTATCTACATCTAGATATGCACATGTATGTGACTATATGAGCTATAATCTAAACTCCTTAAAGGGGGGATATGTAGGGGATTATATATGGGACTACTATAGGGGATATTAAGGGGGATACTAACTAGGGGTTTAGACAAGGGCTCATATAGTTAGATATTAGCTTCTTGATGTGCATGTTCACAGCTGTACAGCCCTAAGCCCTACCCTAAACCCTAAACCCTAAACCCCTAAACCCTAAACCCTAAACCCCTAAACCCTAAACCTTAAAGCCTAAAGCTACACCCCTAAGCCCTTCAGGGGTTTTACACCCTAAACCCTATCATCTCTACGCTCGAAACCCCAAGCCCATGCACCCTACGAAACCTGAATGAACTTCTAAACTCCTAACAGGGGTTATGTATATACATATATATATATATACATATAAATAGGGGATTACTATACGGGTTAGTAAAGGGGCTACTAGGGGTTTTAGGCCTTAAGCCCTAAACCATAAACCCCTAGGGTTTTTTTAGACTATGGCCGAAATGGACTCCTGGCAGGCAATGGACCGCGCCGAGAGGTTTGTTTGTCCGGTGGACTCCATCCAGAGGACCGTTCCAAGGGTACCTCAGGTCAGCTACTGTCCTTAGAGGGGGATCTTCTGTAGGGGATTATATGGGTTTTAGGGTTTAGGGATAGGGTTTAGGGCCAGGGTTTAGGATTCAGGGTTTTTGGTCTAAATTCCCTAAAGGGCGGTTATACTTGTGAGTATTCTAGGGCTTATGAGCTCAGGTGGTTTACAGGACGAGGGTTTTAGGGTTAAGGTTTAGGGCTCCAGGTTTCAGGGTTGTTGGTTTTAGGGTTTGTGTTTCGGTTTCGCGCTTAGGGTTAGGGGTTCTATGCGGATATGTAAGGTTTGGTAAGGGTAACGAAAAACAAGAACGTACCCCCCCTTGCATTGGAATCCTCCATATATACGTCGCCAATGGTTTTGCTTAGTGTTTTCTGCAGCGGTTTTGCGGAGATTGTTTTTGGAATTCTGATAGCCTGCAGGGTGCAAGATGGTTTTGGGGCGGTAGAGTATGGGAGATGCTTACAAGACCCCAGGCCCTACCACAAAGCCTTTGAAACCTGAACCATGCAACCGGACAAGCCCAAGGTCCTCAGGGCTTATCTAAACCCCAAAAGTCTGCAAAATAATAGCCCTAAACCCATAGTAATAGCCATAAAGGCCATTATTTTACCTATTTTTGGGTCCTAAACCCTAAGCCCTAAACAATATAATAGTAGTTTCCATTTTCTTTTCCATTATTTTACCTACTTTTGGGGTCCAGGTAGGGCTAAGTGGGGAGGAGCTTGGCATATTCCTACACGCAGTACCCCAAGCTCCATTCGCTTGAAAATTCGGCTGCCAGGCCATGTGCCTTCCAGGGCTACACCCACACCCTAAACTCGAAGCATAGGGTTTAGGGTTTAAGGGTTTAGGGTTTAGGGTTTAGGGATGGTATCAGGCCCCAATAGCAGGCCCGGTGTTGACAATCCTTTACCTTCCTTGAGAGAATCTCAAATCTCTTTGGAACTTAGCCTAGACCTTAGACTCTTAACTCTCTGGGATTCCCTCATATTCTCGGTATCTAAGCGTTAGCCCTTAGTAAAGATCCTAAGTACCCTAAATCCTAAACCCATATATAATCCCTATACAACCCTGTAATTTGTTAGTTTCCATTTCTTTTCCACTATGCAGGGGTCCTAAGCAGAAGATTCTTCTGATGTTTTGTGAGTCGCTCAGTCCCATAGATTCTGAACCCCTCAGACCCATCTGCACCCTACCCTAGGGTCTAGTACACCCTAAACCCTGAGTTCTAAGCCCCAAAGCCCTAAACTTATGTGGAATCATGGTCTTTCTGACCTTCTCATGGGTTGGGCTGCCATTTTGCATCCTGTTTGGGTCCATGTAAGTCCAAGGCTCCAAACCATACCCAGAGCCTCGCATATCATTCCTTCTCGAGTATATGGTAGTTTCCCAGAATAGGGGGACCCTAACATAGACCCCAAAATACTACAATCCTTATTAATGGAACCCCCAAAATGGCACCCCTAATTTTGGGAAACCCCCATATACTCAAAGGAGCCCGTAGGAAAACTGTTGGGCCCCTTTTAGGCGGAGGATGTTCTGTGTTCCGTATATATGGTTGTATTGGGATAATGGAAGAGAAAATGGAGACCACAGCGATTCTAGGGACCATAGGGATGATATAGAGAGTATATAGGGTATATTGGGTATATTACATACCTACGTAGTATATACCCTGTAAAGCCTCACAAGTTCAAATAAGGGCCCATGTTAGGGGTTTAGGGTGTAGGGTTAAGCCTATAGTGAAGACTCTGAACCCCACCCTAAACCCTACACTCCACCCATAGTTAGGACCCAAAACCTTTACACCATAGCAACCTAAAGGGGAACCACATAGGAGCCCTTGACAGACCTTTTGATCCGGAGGATGTCTTGGGGCACTAAATCCTAAGCCCTAAACCCTACACGCCCAAACCCTAAAACCTGTTGATCCGCAGGATGTCTTGGGACAAGGAACACCAACGGATCAACTTTCAAGGATTCTCTCGACGGCAGAGGACATGCGCAATGCTGGGTCCCTTTTTAAAAGGCGCCTCTAGGGGATATACATACGCAGAGAAGTAAACATATACACATATTATATATATATACTTATATGTAGATTGCAATTTTGGGGGTTTCAGGTTTGGGGGGCCTTAGGGTTTTGGGTATATAGGTTAGGATTTTGGGGTTCAGGATCTAGGGTTTGCGTAGGCTTTGGGGTTCGACTTTACACAATCCCCAGATATGCCTTTACAAGGAACCCAAAGCAAATGAAATCACTTGCCCAAGCTTGTTATAGGGTCTCCATTTTGAGGATAAGGCTTCCCACAATGCTGCTGGCATACCTAGAAGGAACATTGCGTAGAAACCCAACCCGTATACCAACCCTAAGCGCCAAACATACTAAGCCTAAACCTAGAACTATACGCATTAAAGAAAGCCTAGTCCTAAGTCTACAGCCTAGTGCTGAGGGTTGCTCTTCTATGCTCTTTTTTTTGTCGCTTGTTCGGTTAGGTTATGCTCACAGGGTTGCATGCTTGTTGGATGTATGCTGTGGTTTCTGTTTTTATGCTGTGGGTGTGTTGTAATCTTCTAAGCCTACAGCCTAGTGGGCTCCGAATGTACTATGCTGAGGGTTGCTTTTCTATGCTCGGCAATATTTGTCACGCTCGTTCGGTTAGTCTATGCTCACAGGGTTGCATGCTTGTTGGATGTATGCCGTGGTTTCTGTTTTTATGCTGTGGGTGTGTTGTAATCTTATGCGCTTCTGTTCTTGAATCCAGCTTGCCCTGTTTTTTTCATGCTGAGGGTGTTTTCATCTATCCCAGAAAAGATTTTCTAAACACGTGATGGGGTACTGTAAAGGGAATGCTTGGTATTCGGGGTCGGAGGATGTTGATATTACGGGGAGCAGCTTCTCCATGCTGAGGGTGGTGTCTGTCCTGATTCGGTGTCCTTATTGACATGTCCAACGGTATCATGCTAGAATTATTGCTTCACCATAGAACTTGGTCAGCATGAGCTATTGGAAACTTACCAAAGTGAATTTGACATCACGAGCAAAATTTGTTAGCATCCATGCTAAACAACTCCAACTTCTGTTTCGTCAGGTATTGGCCTCCGTCTGGCATTGTGCTGGCACAAGTTGGGTTGAACAAGGGGAGTACACTCAAGTAAAGTTTATCCACATTTCACTTCAGACGGCATGTATAACTAAGAAAGTGATTATATGATCAAACGATGCGATGTCACGTTTGAGAAGCAATCACTGTGCGGCAAAAGGTCGATAAATCCAATTTCCCTAAGCATCTAAGGATCCGTATGTGAAGGAGTTTGCGCCCAAAGACCATGTTATGTAAGGCCTTATAGGTGATTTTGATGCTTAGGGTTTCTGTCATGTTTAGGGTTTAGGGTTTAGGGTGTTGGGTTTAGGGTTTAGGGTTTGGAGTTTAGGGAAATTGCATCTCCACCAGGGTTCAGGGTGCCTTAAATCCTACAGCCCAAAGGGTCCATG